AAGGTGGATGGCTTGGGTTTAGGCCTTTGGAGGATTTCCTTGGGGCGGGGGTTGGGACAGTGTGCTGTGTGCCTGCAATGTCTTGAATGAGCGCCTGAGTTACCCCTGGAGAGCTGCCAGCCCCACCTGAAAGCCTGAACTTCTTGGCTCAGGTCTTCATGTGAGGCTCAGCCAGGAAGAAGGGGTGCCACCCACCTTTGTGAGGCCACATGGGTCATGCCAGCAACCCCAGATCCATAGGCCCTTCCTCCAGTTGGACTTCTGTGGACTGCACAGGCCCAGGAGTTCCTACATAAGCCCAAGGGATGTGAAGAGTGGAATCCCCAAAACATGGCTCAGACTGAATTATCTGCCAAGTCGGGGACTGAGGGCCAAGCCATGTTTAATTGATTTAGAAAATGAAGAGATGGAGGCTGGGCATGGTGGCTCACACCTGTAATCCCAGCACTTTGGGAGGCCGAGGCAGGTGGATCACAAGGTCAGGAGTTCAAGATCAGCCTGGCCAACATGGTGAAACCCCAGCTCTACTAAAATATAAAAATTAGCCGGGTGTGGTGGCACACGCCTGTAGTCCCAGCTACTCAGGAGGCTGAGGCAGGAGAATTGCTTGAACCCAGGAGCCAGAGGTTGCAGTGAGCCAAGACTGAGCCACTGCACTCCAGCCTGGGCGACAGAGCAAGACTCCGCCTCAAAAAAAAAAAAAAAAAAAAAGAGAGAGAGATGCAAAAATATCCCGGGTATCTTCATATGTCAGTATATATGTGTGTGTTTAGTACCTCCTGGTTGGGACCCAGTTTGAAAGCCTGAGAGTCCTGGAGATGTGGATGCCTGAGAATCACGGTTTTACTAGGCAAAGATTTTCTCCTCTTCTCAAAATAGCTGTAGTTATTAGACATCCTAGGTATTTAGGTTCCATGTCACTTTCTCCAATTGGGGCAGGTTTTAGGAAATTGTGCAGGTGCCTGGTTTCCTTGTACAAACACATTTGCTGACTTACCCACTAATGTCAGAGCCGCTAAGTTTTCATGACTCTGTCATTGACTTAAATACTTCCTTTTCCCTTGACTGAGTCTCCCCTTATGAACTTTGGATGTTTAAAATGGAATTTAGTGATGTTTTCACACCACATTTTTCATTATTTAGCACTTTGGAAACAGAGGTTGTTTTGTTATAAGCTTTTTATTCTTCTTAACCTCCTCTGAATACTTGAAACCTTTCACGACGGAAATGAGTTTACTGTGACCTGAGTCGGTATTATACAGTAAATGCATGATTCTCAAAACACACTGTTTATGTGGAGAATAAACGTGGTCCGGAACACAGTGTTCAGTGTCTGAAATGAAATGCAAGTCTCCCGTTTCCCAAGGCTGACAGGGTGGTTGCTGAATGATATTCCAGCTGCTTAAATGAAGGGCCCTGGAAAGGTTTGTTGGAAGTGAATTCAAGGGCGTTGCCTCTTCGTGGTTGGGTTTGCTCTCCGAAGACCCAGGAATGCCCTACTTTCCTTGAATTCTGAGCTTCAAAGCTTACATCAATGTCCATCTGCTTAACAACCTGTTTTAGTAACCAAGTATACCAAGATGTTACTGTCACATTAAACTGTACTCCTGCACCCTTTCCTTTCCTTCCCTTCCCTTCCCTTTCCTCCCTCCTTCCCTTCCCTTCCCTTTCCTTCTTTTTTTTTTTTCTTTTATTTTTTCCAGTATCTCACTCTGTCACCCAGGCTGGAGTGTGGTGGTGTGATCTCAGCTCACTGCAGCCTCCACTGCCTGGGTACAAATGATCCTCATGTCTCAGCCTCCCGAGTGGCTGGAAATACAGGCATGTGCCATTATGGCCTGGCTAATTTTTGTGTTTTAAATAGAGATGAAGTTTCACCATGTTGACCAGGCTGGTCTCGAACTCCTGGCCTCAAGTGATCTGCCTGCCTCGGCCTCCCCAAGTACTGAGATTACAGGCGTGAGCCACCGCGCCCGGCCTGTACTTCCTTTCTTGATCACACCACCACAGTCTTGACTTGCAGGTCAATCTATACCTTATTTGACATAAAATATTGTCAGCAAGTCTAATGGAACATTCCACCAGAGTGGGAAACCCATCTCCAAGATGCAGTGGTGAGCTATTAATTAAAGCTGGCTCGTGCCCTCAGAGCAACTTTCTTTGATGCTGCTTGTGACAGGTCAGCATTTGCATCATATGCCCAGCGGAGCCTGCTCTGCCTGGCGTTATCACTTGTCCTTTAGGGACGGTGTGGCCTCTTTCTTCATGGCTGTGTTAGATGTCATCCAAGTGAATTGCTTCTTTCTCTTTCCTGTTTATTTGTTTTAGGGTGTCACCTCTTAGCCATCTGAGCACTGGGCTGGCTGCCAAAAAAGAGGTGATGATGTAACGGGCCAACTCCCATGTGGCTCAGAGGGGGAGGACCCCAGGACTCCAGGATGGGACAGGGCAGCCACTTCTCACCAAGGTGACACTGGGGCTTCTGAGTGAGCCTCTGAGTGGGGAATGGGGGGAGGGGCAACATGATGGAGGGGTCAGTGACACACCCCTGCCCCCATGAAGAAAGGATTTCTGCTTTGAAATTCCTCTACTAGAAACTAATTCCTTCTGCTCAGTTTTATTCCTCAGGAAGGGATGTGTGTGCGTGTGTGTGTGTGTGTGTGTTTTGACAGTTCGTTCTTTCTTTATTTTTTTGAGATGGAGTTTCGCTCTTGTCACCCAAGCTGCAGTACAATGGCGCGATCTTGGCTCACTGCAACTTTCACCTCCCGGGTTTAAGCGATTCTCCTGCCTCAGCCTCCCTGAGTAGCTGGAATTACAGGCATGCGCCACCACGCTTGGCTAATTGTGTATTTTTAGTAGACGGGGTTTCTCCATGTTGGTCAGGCTGGTCTTTAACTCCCAACCTCAGGTGATCCACCCGCCTTGGCCTCCCAAAGTGTTGGGATTACAGGCATGAGCCACCGCACCCGGCAAACAGTTCTTTCTTCAAAAGTGTTACATATTTATTGTAGAAAAATTTAAAAATTCACAGAGGCAATAAGTCATTAAGATCAATCAAGAACTATATACATATAATTACTATTTAAACCTGAGGGGCGTGTGTGTGTATGTTTGTGCACGTGCACACATGTGTGTAGAGACAGAATTTCATTTCTGTTTTTCTTTTTTTTTTTTTTTTGAGACGAAGTCTTGCTGTTGCCCAGGTTGGAGTGCGGTGGCACAATCTCGGTTCACTGCAAGCTCCCTCTGCCTCCTGTCTCAGCCTCCGGAGTAGCTGGGACTACAGGTGTCCACCACCACGCCTGGCTAATTTTCATACTTTTGTAGAGATGAGGTTTCACCATATTGGCCAGGCTGGTCTCGAACTCCTGACCTCAGATGATCCGCCCGCTTTGGCCTCCCAAAGTGCTGGGATTACAGGTGTGAGCCACCGCACCAGTATAAAAACTGATATCATGTAATACACACATTTTCAGTACAGTAAAAAAAAAAGTCATATGGTGAAGACTTTTTCTTTCCGATAAATATCAATCTATATCATCATTACATGGGTCCGTCAAAATTTGTTTAAATAAAAAAAAATTTAGTTTCCAGATTTATACTTGGGTGAACGTGTTTGAAGTTAATTTGTATTTTCTTCTTTTTGAGACATGGTCTTAAAAAAAAAAAAAAAGATGACTATTCAGGGTGCTAAACAGCCTGTCTGCTCCCTATTGCTAAAAGAATCCAACACTAGTCTTTTCTCACCTAGGAGTTGCATACAATTTCAGCAAATGCAAGAGATCCAGAGCAGCTCTAATATTCACCACTTCTATATACCTAGTGCTTAGAATAGGCTCTTTTCCAAGTGCTTTATGCCTATTAGTTTACTCCTCATGAAAGCCCTGAGAGGAAGGTGCTGTCACTAAAGCCCACTCCACTGCGGGGACACACGCACCCAGAGGCCAGGCAACTGTGAAACTGCCTTTGCAAAATTAAGACTGAGACAGCGAAAGAGATCTAACTTAACTGACTCCATCTTCCTTCTAACCTCCAAGCAGTCTTTGTTCATTCCTGGGCGCAGACTGAACTAACAACTTTGGGAGAAACTTAGCTTATAGTTTATAGCTTAAAACAAAGACGGTAACAGCCCTTTCCCAAAGCAGACCTCCCTCTTGCCTGGGGACTAGATTGCCTTTGTGGGACTAACATTAGCCACGACATTAGAAATTATAGTTTAGGAGTCATGCAGTTGGAGGCTACAAGATTCTGACCCTCCGTAAACTGCTCCTAGAAATCATTGCTTGAGATATTTTGCAGACCCTGCACTTGATGGATCAGCTGGCCCCACCCCATCAGTAAACGGGCTCATATGATCTTGTGGCTCCCACCCAGGAACTGACTCAGTACAAGACAGATTTGACTCCCTAAGATTTCGTTCCTGACTAGTCAGCGCCCCCGGCTCACTGGCTTTCTCCTACCCATCGAATTGTCCTTAGAAACTCTGCTCCCAGAATGCTCGGGGAGACTGATTTGAGTAATAATAAAACTCCAGTCTCCTGCACAGTCGGCTCTGCATGAATTACTCTTTGTCTGTAGCAGTGGATGAATTGGCTCTGTCTAGGCAGCAGGCAAGGTGAACCCCTTGGGCGGTTACAACTGGCCCATAAGTGCGAGGCTCATGAGCAGCAAAGCAGACTAGCCCCCCAGGCAGCTCGCTCTGACCGCTGACGCTTTCCCCTTTCCCGTAGAACCGGTGTGCAGCCATTAGTTCACACAAGTCACATGAAAGCCCTGTGTGTCCAATCGTGCAGCCGCTGTCCACCACAACAAATATGGTGTTGGTCGGAAAACAATAGCTCTCCCCTTAGACACACAGTGAACCTTCTCTTTCTGAATATGTCCATTTCTTCAGTAACTACAAGAGGTATCTGCTATGTGCCAGGTGCTGTTCTAGAAACATATCGATATTCTTGTTTCTTTTTTTTCTTTTCAGAAGCCAGTTGGAGTTTATGGTTTCATTTGCCCAAAAATCCACCTTCATGGACCTCAAATTCTTTCCAAGAATCACTACCACACATATTAATTTGAACATTCTCCACCCTTCCACCATCCCTGCTTCTCCTGGGAACTTCAAAATAAAAATGGCCCGTGTGCCCCCACTCCAGGTCCTCGTGTAGGACTGTCTCTTCTTCTCTGGGGGCTGCAGTTCTGATGCGAATGATGGTGCTGTTCCAGTGCTGGGCCATTGCACAACACGAGTTTTGTTTCAGGAATTTTTTTATTTTTCTAGAGGGAGTCTTGCTCTGTCGCCCAGGCTGGAGTGCAGTAGTGCAACCTCAGCTCACTGCAGCCTCTGCCTCCCAGGTTCAAGTGATTCTCCTGCCCCAGCCTTCTGTGTAGCTGGGACTACGGGTGTAGGGTGCCATGCCCAGCTAATTTTGTATTTTAGTAGAGACGGGGTTTCACTGTGTTGCCCAGGCTGGTTGCGAACTCCTGACCTCAGGTGATCTGCCCGCCTCGGCCTCCCAAAGTGCTACAGGCGTGAGCCACTGCACCTGGCCTCCGGGCAGTTTTATAGAAGGCACCTGTTCCTAGCACCTCGGATTTGGACACCAAGCCACCTAGCTTCTCACCTCGCTCTAACAAAGAATCCATGGTATTGTGCAGAATGATCTGGGTCTCGTCTGGTTCGGCCTGCACTTTAGTCATGGGGTCAGCGTCTCGTGGGTTCTGGTATCTACTGAGGTGACCATCCAGGGATGCAGAATGGATTGTAGCAGGGGATCCTACTGGCCAGTCTTTCCTGTTGACTTGCTTGGAGAATTCATCTAGTACTTTCTCCAGCAAGGTAAAGGCCACCAGGGATGGGCACTCATTGTCAGTAATGATGACACCTGCAAGACTGTCATTCTGAACATAGACGTGCCACAGATAGTCTTGTTCTGCGACAGAAGCTCTAGTGCCTTTAGATGAGCGCTCCATAATCAGTTGACTTGTGAAGGTCATGAATTCCTGAACGCTGGATCTCTGAGAAAAGCTGAAGGAAGCCACATCGTCGTACCCGACTTTGAGCAGTACTACCTTGGCCCCGCCTTTGTAGAGGACACTGAGGCTGTACAGCTTCATGGCTCTGTGCCCTCAGGCCACCTGCCTGCCCAGCTGCGGGACCGCTCTGGGTATTATGACTGTGGTACTATGAATACCACATTGGTATTCATAATAGATGTATGCACAAGGCATGGAAGCTACTCAAAACACACAAAGATACCTGCCTCCTGGAGGGGATATTGCTCAGACCAGCAGGTAACAGGCCCTCGTATAAGAAACTAAGAGCTTTAGAGGGGCCCCTGCCTGCGCAGGCCCAGGTATAATTGTGACGGAGAAGCTGCACTTCAGTCCCTCAGCCAAAACCTCTCTCGGGTGCCTTTCATTTGATTCCAGCTGTCCTGTCTTCCTGGCTCCCAATGCGCTGTGCTGTCTTCCCAAGTTACTCCATTTCCTGATCCCAGCCCCGGACACTGTGCATCTGTCCATCCATCCAGTGAATTCTTTCAATCTGTCGTTCAATCACCTCTTACTGAGTTCCTTCTTGGTGACAGGCACTGTGCTGGCTGGTAGAGATATACAGATAGACAAGGCAGCCCTTTGCCCGTGAGCCAGCTCCGGGACATTCAGGTGGAAAGCACCAGGCGTTGATGAAGCAGTCAATTAAGTTTGATGACATATTCTGTATTTGGAATGAAAGATAGAAATTGGGCTGGGTTTCGAGGCTTACGCCTGTAATCCCAACACTTTGGGAGGCCGAGGCGGGAGGATTGCTTGCTTGGGCCCATGAATTTGAGACTAGTTTTGGCAATATAGTGAGACCTGGTCTGTACAAAAAATAAAATAAAATAAAAAACTAGCTGGGCATGGTGGCATGCACCTGAGGTGGGAGGATTGCTTGAGCCCATGAGGTCGAGGCTGCAGTGAGCTGTGATCATGCCACTGCACTCCAGCCTGGGTGACAGAGCAAGACTCTGTTTCCAAAAAAAATTGAACAAGTATTGGGTAACACCTTTAAAAAGAATGTCTGCAAAATTGTTTCTAGTTTCTCTGGGTTTCTTCCCATCAGGGAGCAGAATGTTAGAGTAGGAAGAGGATTTGCGAGGTCATCCAGCCAACCTCCTGGCTGCCTTACAGAAACTTGAAGATGGTCTCGGATTAGAACTCGCTCCTTAGATGTTTCAGAGACACAACCTACTGTACACAAGCAGACTTGTCCAAATTGATGTTTAACATTGATAAGCTATACTATTATCTCTAACCAGTTGTTCCACACCCTGCCCCAATCACTTTTTTTTTGTTTTTTGAGACAGAGTCTCACTCTGTCGCCAAGGCTAGAGTGCAATGGTGTTATCTCACCTCATTGGGACCTCTGCCTCCTGGGTTCAAGCGATTCTCCTGCCTTAGCTTCCTGAGTAGCTGGGATTACAGGCACCCGCCACCACGCCCACCTAATTTTTGTATTTTTAGTAGAGATGAAGTTTCACCATCTTGGCCAGGCTGGTCCCAAACTCCTGACCTCAGGTGATGCACCCACCGGGGCCTTCCAAAGTGCTGGGATTACAGACCTGAGCCACTGAGCCCAGCCCCCCATCACTTTTAATGTAGGCAAATTCGTAGGAGCTTTGAAATATACAGTCAGGTGATGCTTCACTATGGGGATATGCTCTGAGAAGTGTTAGGTAATTGTGTTGTTTTAGAAACATCATAGAGTGCATTTACACAAACCTAGATGGTATCGCCTACCACATACCTAGGGTAAGTGGTAGAGCCTATTGCTCCCAGGCTACAGACCTGTACAGCAAGTACTGAATACTGCAGGCAATTGTAGTGCAATAGGAACTATTTATATCTTCAAACATATCTAAACAGAAAAGGTAAAGTACAAATATGGTAACGTAATCTTAAGGGACCACATAAAGAAATGACTGGCAAAGTTACATAAAAATGCCCTTGGCAATTATGCATGACTTGACCTGCAGTAACTACCGGGTCCCACATAATGAGCGGAAGGTCGGGCACCCTACTACAGCTCATAATTCACATGGGTAATTTGATGTAGTTGTTAATGGTCTGCCATAAAAAAGAGTCATCATCCTAACAGCTCCAAAGCTATTTCTATAACTGATCTTTATCCTAGCAGTCACAGCTGAACACGCCCACATGGATCCTCAGTGAAAGGCAAAGTTAGAAGCTGGCAAGCTCTCCACTAGTTGCAATCACGCTGATCTAAGATGAATCCTTTTATTGGAAATCTGGTGGGCAAAGTGCCAGAAGCTCTCTTTTCCCTGGGAAATAATATAGCTTCTAGGTAATGTGTACGTTATACAGCCCATACTTCCTGGCCATGCTTTGCCCTAGGGTTGGGGAGACACAGTGGGAGAGAGAGAGGGGGAAGGGAAGGGGGAGAGGGAGAAGGAAGAAAGAGGGAGGGGAAGTGGGTGGGGGAGGAGTGGGCATGAGGGGGAAGAGAGAAGGAAGAGGAAGAGGAGAGGGAGAAGAGGGAGGGGAAGTAGAGAAAGAAGGGGAGGAGAGAGAGAAGGAGGAGGAAGGAAAGGAAAGGGACAAGAGGGAGGGATGACAGGGAGAGAGAGGGGCTTCAAACAACCTTCAATGCACACAGAATGGCCCCCTGCTTCTATTTCTTTCTTTGAACCAAGAATTTAACTGAAAAAGAATTTTAAGGCCCAGTGTAGTGGCTCATGCCTGTAATCCCAGCACTTTGGGAGGCCGAGGCAGGTGGATCACTTGAGTTCAGGAGTTTGAGACCAGCCTGGCCAACATGGTGAAACCCTGTCTCTACTAAAAATACAAAATTGTACTGGGGAGGCTGAGGCAGGAGCTACTGGGGAGGCTGAGGCAGGAGAATCACTTGAACATGGGAGGCAGAGGTTGCAGTGAGCTGAGATTGCACCACTGCACTCCAACCTAGGCAACAGAGTGAGACTCTGTGAAAGAAAGAAAGAAAGAGAGAAAGAGAGAAAAAGAGAAAGAAAGAGAGAAAGAGAAAAAGAGAGAGAGAGAGAAAGAGAGACAGAGAAAGAAAGAAAAGAAAGAAGAAAGAAAAAAGAAAAGAAAGAGAGAAAGAAAGGAAGAAAGAAAGGGAGGAAGGAAAGAAGGAAGGAAGACGGAAGGAAGGGGAAGGGGAAGGAAGGGAAGAGTAGGGAAGGAGGGAGGATGGGAGGGAGAGAGGGAGGGAAGGAGGAAGGAAGGGGAAGGGAAAAGGAAGGGAGGGAGGGAGGGAAGAAGGAAGGAAGGAAGGAAGGAAGGAAGGAAGGAAGGAAGAAAGGAAAGAAGGAAGGAATTTTAAGGCTAAGTTCAGTCATGCACCAGTTTCAGTGAACTATGAACTAAATATACAGCAGGGGTCCCATAAGATTATAATGGAGCTGGAAAATTCCTATCACCTAGTCACATCTTGATGATCCTGACCCTGTGTAGGCTAATGTATGTGTATGTGTCTTAGTTTGTAACAACAAATTTTTAAAGTTAAAAAATAAAAAATTTTTTAAATAGAAAAAAGCTTATAGAATAAGGATATAAAGAAAGAAAATAATTTTGCAAAGCTGTATAATGTGTTTGTGTTTTAAGCTGTTTTACGAAAGAGTCAAAAAGTTAAAACAAATGAAAAAGATTATAAAGTAAGAGAGTTACAGTAAGGTAAGGTTAATTTATTATAATATAATTTATAATTAATTTATTATAATATTCTTTTAAAATATGGAATGCTGCATGAATGTGCATGTTGATATGGTTTGGCTGTGTCCCCATCCAAATCTCATCTTGAATTGTAATCCCATAATCCCCACATGTCATAGGAGGGACCCAGTGGGAAGTGATTGGATCATAGGGGCAATTTCCCCCATGCTGTTATTGTGATAGTGAGGGAGTTCTCAAGAGATCTCATTTTTTGTTTGTTTGTTTGTTTTGAGACGGAGTCTTGCTCTGTAGCCCAGGCTGGAGTGCAATGGCATGGTCTCAGCTCACTGCAACCTCCGCCTCCTGGGTTCAAGTGATTCTCCTGCCTCAGCACCCCCGAGTAGCTGGGATTACAGGCGCTTGCCACCTTGCCCAGCTAATTTTTGTATTTTTAGTAGAGACGGGGTTTCGCCATGTTGGCCAGGCTGGTCTTGAACTCCTGACCTCAGGTGATCTGCCCGCCTCGGCCTCCCAAAGTGCTAGGATTATAGGTGTGAGCCACTGCACCCTGCCGAGATCTGATGGTTTTATAAGTGTCTAGCATTTCCCTTGCTTGCCCTCACTTCTTCCTGCTGCCTTGTGAAGAAGGTGCCTTGTTTTTCCTTTGCCTTCTGCCATGATTGTAAGTTTCCTAAGGTCTCCCTAGCAATGCTGCACTGTGAGTCAATTAAACCTCTTTCCTTTATAAATTACCCAGTCTCAGGTATTTCTTTATAGCAATGTGAGAACAGATTAATTCACATGTCATCCTTGCACAGGGGCCATGCTGATCTTCTCTGTATCATTCCTTAATGTATTACTGAAGAAAGAAAAATATTTGCTACACATTTGGCGTAGCCTAAGTGTACAATGTTTATCAAGTCTACAGCAGTGTACAGTAATGCCCTACGCCTTCACATTCACTCATCACTCACTCCCTGACTCACCCAGAGCAACTTCCAGTCCTATAAGCCCGTCCATGATAAGTGCCCCGTTCAGGTGTGCCATTTTTATCTTTATGTATTTGTAATTTTAATTATAAGGAAGGAGACCACTACTACTCCTGCTGCCCTCCTCCCCCCACCTTGCCTAGTTCACAAGGCAGGAGTAAAGAGAGAAAGAAACAAAAGTAAGATAAATAGCCAGACAACCTTGGCACCATCACTCGGCCCTAGAAGTTAAACAAAGTAATAATAACAACATCAACCCCTGGCCTAAACTACTTGTGTTATCTGTAAATTCCAGACACTGTATGAAAAAAAAGCATTGTAAAACTTTCTGTTCTGTTAGCTGATGCATGTAGCCCCCAGTCACGTTTCCCACGCTTGCTCGATTTATCACGACCCTTTCATTTATCACGACCCTTTCACATGGACCCCTTAAAGCTGTAAGCCTTTAAAAAG